GTGTCATAGAACTGTACGAAGAGTTTGCGAATACATAAGAATATTAATAAGAGGAATCCTTAACGACTTTCTTAATGACTGCCATACATATATACATACATCTAATATACATACATATATGCTTAAGTACAGCTATATACAAGTTAAACAACACTGAGAGAAACAGCGAACAGCAGGGGATCTCGTTGCAATTATAATTTCTTTAAACAAAAAATCACTTTTCCAATCTCTTGTATACAATTTCAACAGTATCTACTTTTGTTTTTATCTTTTGAAATCATCTGTAAAGAGTTTTAAGGTTTCAGTTTAACCAAGCTTTTCTTGCATAAAAAAGAAAACACTCGAGAGTTTTTTAAATCTTTCAAACTGTATTTGACTTGCATTCAGTACCATTTTAATTGAGAAAATTAAAAGAATAGCAAGAAACGCTTTCGTCAGTGATCTTCCTTTAACCAAAATTCATAGTTTCTTTAGTCAAAATAGGCGACCCTGCTGTTTGATCTTCGAAAATATTGAAGCGTGTAAACGAAAATTTGAAAAAGCTATAATGGATCTCAGTGAATTATGCGAATTACGAAACACAAATCATAGTTTGTAAAAATTATAAATCCAAAACGAAAATCGTAGACATGTAAAAACGAAACAAATTTCACAAGCAAAAAGTGGTAAGAAAAAGAATCTGTTTAGTAACCAAAGTACATACACAAACGTCAAGTAATGAGAAGTAAACTTAATGGAAAACCGCAGTTTGTAACATAGACATAAATAGTTTTTTTTTATCCCCTAATTATGCCCGTTACTTATAGAGTAAAAGGGTATATTAGATTTGTTGAAAAGGACGTAACATATAGAAGGAAGCGTTTCCTACCCCATTAAGTATGTCCGTGTCCGTATGAACGCCTCGTTTTACATTTTTTCGTTTGATTATTTGTTTTGTCTATTTCTATCGGTATACCAAAAACATTTTAATTTAAATTTCATTAATTTTAATATTTTTTTTTACCAATTTCCACCAATATTTCGGAAAATTTCTGAAATTTCTCGTTCGCAATTTCACTAGCTGAGTAACGGGTATCTGATAGTCGGGGAACTCGACTATAGCGTTCTCTTGGTTTAAACCTTTAATTGCCGTCGGATACTGTGTGGTAAAAGCAAATAATAATAGGTTTATCAATTCTTTCAAAGAAATATGCGTTTTTATAATTTATGCCATTATAAATATAGATAATCTAACGAAATTGAACTCTGATTTAAAACTTTAAATGAATGCCGAAATTTCTCAATCGAACGTACATAACTTAGTACTCTATAAATAGCATAACGCATTATATTTGCTTTTACGACCCTTTTTGTGTGTGGTAGAACACCTTTTGGCATTAAAGGGATAACGTAACTGTGGCTTTCTCGCTCTCTTTCTCAAACTTTTGGGGATTACAGGGATTTCGTGTAACGAAACCTCAGCGAAGAAGGAGAGCGAGTGAGCAAGCGGTAGCCGCTTTCTTTTGTGATAAAAACAACCGCAAAAAATAATTAACCCTATAAAGCCCTAACATTGCCGCAATCGCAAAAAAGTTTGGGCCTTGTTACAAATACAAAAAAAAAGAAAAAACAGGCAAAAATGTTAGGACACAAAGCTAATAGAAACAAAAACACACTCTCAGAAATAAAACAGCGGTTAATATTTAAATATATGCATAACAGTTTTAATTGGAACGATTGATAAGCGATAACCGATAAACAAAAAGCGATAAGTATTGATAGAGCGTCTAATATGCGAAATACGAGTTGAAAACCAAACACAAATCATAGTTTGTAAAAAGTATAAAGTCGTAGGCATGTAAAAATAGCAGAAAAAATTGGTAAATGAATAAATGAATGCGTTAAGTAAACCACAAGAAGTGAATAAGAAAACAAATGAAACCGTATAGCAAGCATAACAAATTAAATCAGTACGTACTAAAGAGAAAAACTTTAGCATTTAATAAATTAACATACATACATCTATATATAACACATACGAGTAATTATGCGGAAAAACTCAATTAATTTTATTAGACACAGACGAAAACGCAGACAGACAAACGGATACGAAATACATATAAAAGTAAATATTTATTAAAATTAGAAGTTATCCCCGAATAAAATGATCCATGATCTATGAATTTAACAGCAACCGGAGAGACACTTAACGAAACTTGTGTAAAATACTAAAACCCGAAAAGCGAGTGTTATAGGTTGAGTAAGTTTAAAAATCACCATACATACACACACATACATACACCCAGCAACACACATAGGCGATGGCGAAGTATGCAATAAGAGCGATAACTGCAACGATAACGATAACCAATTGTTATTTGGGCAGAGTTGCATTTTGGAAAGCAAGCGGAAATGAAAGCAAAAAGAAAGTGCAATAGCGGTAAAGAGAGACGGAAAATCGGGGAGACCATAATGCATTTTTTTTACAAAACAGTATTGCAATGATAAAAAATATAAAATTCGAATTCAAACCAAATTTAAAAAAAGAAGAAAACACAAAAAGCACTCACACATACATACATAAACTGACAGACCGACACACATATGGACAAGCAACATGTGTGGCATTTATATAATATAAACATACAACAGCTGATGGTTTAAGTTGAATAAGTACGAGATAATTTATTAATGATTAATGAAACCGAAATGAAAACTTTACCAAAACCAAACCAGAAAAGGAATTCATACAAGAAACTAAAGCAAACCAAAGCAAAAGATAAAAATTACAAAAAAAAAAGTGAAAAAAAAAATCTTCAATAAAAACTTATGATATAATCAACAAAAAAAAAAAAACCTGTTCCAATAACTTGAATCCATGGAAAATACTAAGGGGTTCTTATTGAGTTTATTTACTTTAATTACTTAATTAATATAATGTTAACAAATATCTAAAATTTTCGAGTTAAAAGACCAAGATGCTTAGTATTCTCCCAGGATGGCTAAGTTGCCCATGGGGTTTTCTAAGAAAGGACAACCGCAGATCATGAAACCCATTTAAAACCAAACATCTATTTGTTTTGCAGGCCTGCTTATGCATTCGGCGGCGGCCAACGCGATGAACAACTTCTCCGCTCTGAGCCTGCAGCCCACCGCCCATCCGCCGCCATCGCTGGCCAATAGCCACCACAGCACCAACAGCCTGGGCAGCCTGAATCACATCAGTCCCGGTAGCAGCAGCTGCAACAACAACAGCAGCAGCAGCAACAACAACACACGCCACAGTCGTCTGTACGGCAGCAACATGGTCAACATGGTGGGGCACCACAACAGCAGCAGCAACAGCGGCAGCAGCAGCAGCAGCAACCATAACAGCATCAGCTATCCGCACGCCATGGAATGTGATCCGCCGCAGATGCCGCCACCGCCGCCAAATGGACATGGCAGGATGCGGGTGCCGGCGATAATGCAACTGCAGCCGAACAGCTTTGCGCCCAATTCGGTGCCCTATTATGGCAACATGTCCTCGTCTGCTGCGGCGGCGGCGGCGGCAGCAGCTGCTGCCTCGCATCTTATGATGACCGATTCGAGTGTGATTAGCGCCTCGGCGGCGGGCGGTGGCCAGGGCGGCGGCAATCCCGGCCAGAATCCGGTTCCGCAGTCAGCTGCCGCCTTTCTCTTCCCATCTCAGCCCGCCGGAACGCTATATGGAACGGCGCTCGGCTCGCTAAGCGACCTGCCACTGCCGCTGCCGATGACACTGCCCATGCCCGTGCCCCTGCAACTGCCGCCCTCGTCGTCGTCCGTCTCCTCAGGATCAGCAGCAGTTGGATCTGGAGGAGTGGGTGTGGGTATGGGAGTCGGCGTGGTTGGCCAAAGACGGCACATCAACGGACCCGCCGCCCAGGTGGGCATCTCTCAAAGTGTCGGCAGTGGCAGCAGCTCGGCCACCGGGGCCAGCAGCAGCGATGCCTCCTCGTCGTCGCCCATGGTGGGCGTTTGTGTTCAACAGAATCCTGTAGTTATACATTAGCATAAACTGGAAGTAAGCGAAAAACGTTAGATGCCCGCTTACAATACTACTTTTCACGCCCTTTGCCGCTCTCTGCTGCTATTTATTGCACCGTCACCAACGCCACCACGCCTCCCCGCCCACAAACCAAGGAACCATACAATCGCCAACGCAGCAGCACCATAGGTGCAGCAGTCGAGAATCGGCGGTCTTGTCCGACATTTGAAATACCGCAGCGTACGTGGGGTATTCGATGCAGAACGTTACGCGTTCATAAGGTCTAGCTCTTAAATTAGTTGCAAACATATTTTTGTTTCCACACATTTTTACACGTGTGCATACTATGTACGATGTACACATATACGATTTTACAAATAATTCTGTCTATTTTTATTAGCATTTTTGTAGGATCCTAATTTGTTGAATCAATTTTCTGTTTTATGAAGACAAATTTTAAGTTTATCATTGAAATGCCCATCTAGCAGCCTAAAATTCTTTAAAATTTGCGATAACGTAACTTCGATTGGATGAATAGCGAAGTGCATTTGTTTTTCTAGAATTTCGCCAAAGTGGAGCAGTTTTGTTTGAGCTTTTCCTAAAGACGCGATGAGGTATTTCAGTCTTTGTGAGACAAGACGCCCGATGACGACCACTGCACCACAGACACATGCCCAAAATAAAAATAAAAATACATTAACATTAACTAGCTGAAATTGACCCTCATATCCCACGAAACACACAAGAAAACTCACTCACCTGCGGTTCTTACTGATTAGTCACTTCGAGCTCTCAACGCCGCGCCCACAGCACCGGCCACGCCCCCATTCGCCCGGGATTGAGGCGGGGATGCCGTGTGGGCGACTTGAAGGATTTGGCAGAGTTCATCTTTTTTACATGCTAGAACCTATTTTTTTTTTTTTTGGTCTAATTGTAATGTTTAACTTTATGCTGTAACCGTAACGACATAATTTTACTTTATATAAACGAATCAAAATTAAACTTTATTTAATTGTTAATTTAAATTATGTAATTTTATTCGACGAGAAATCGCTAGTAATATAGAAAGCAAACAAATATGCTTAATTTAAGCAAAACTCAAATTGTTTTTATTGTACATGTGAGGGTGCCAATAGCAACTAGAAACCAAACGGCGATGATTAGATCAGAACCTGTGCGCGATAGTGCTTCTGCAGCTTATTGGCCTTGCAGCCGAGCTTCATCTGCCACTTGGACTGGACGCGCTTCATCAGATGGATGTCGCGTGCCTTGCGAGCGGCGGACAGCTGCTGGGTTTGCGTCCAGCCCAGAGCCCGGTACTCGCTGAGCACGCGGTGCAGCTTGCGATCGGACTTTTGGATGACCACGGCGCGCTCCGGACGGAGACGCTGCTTGTAGTAACGGAGCAGGGAGCGATGGCCAATGACGGCGCCGGAGGGCAGCACCAGCTGATACTCATCGCCATCGAGCAGATCCGGTACCACCTCTTCGTCAATGTCCATGCCTTCATTCTGTGCGTGTTAAAGGGTTTTCCAAGATTCAGTCAACTAAACATGCACAGCTTCGGTTTTTGCTACGTGTGCTACTTACATTATCCGGATAACTGCTGCTGTAGTCGTAGTACTCTGCATATTCGGCCAGGGCCACGCCCTCGTGCAGCATCTGGCAGTGGCCCTTGTCGACCATGTGCTTGCGCACGGCGTCCAGTGAGTAAAAGGTCTTGCCGCGATCGTTGCAGAACAGGCAGATGAAGTAGTTGGCCACCTTCTCGCCCAAGTAGTACAGAAGGCCCTCGATGTCCGTGCAGTAGTCGGTGTCCGGGATGAAGAACGAGTGCGCCACGGACATGTGCTTTAGGTTCTCGACCAGGTCCTCGCTGGCATGTGCACAGAACAGGCAGTCGCGCTCTGTCAGCGGATTCTCGGGTATCTTGTCCCACTCATCGGAGTCCACCTATAAAATACAGTTCTTGTTACTATACAGCTGTATACATTGCACAGGTGATAAACTATAAATTATAATTTATATCTTAATCAGGCATAGATTCTCTAAGGAACCCATTTACGGGGGAGTCTAAGATGCTCAAGATAACCTTTCTATAAGCAAGGTAAAGTCTATGCGAGCTACATAGCGCTCCTACCTCCTCCTCTTCAATGTCCTCGAAGTCATCGTCGTCCTCGTCGACCATCTCCTCGTCATCATCCGCCTTGGCCACCCGCTCCGCGAAGGCCAGTCGACCCTTGCCAGCGGCTGCGGCGGCCAGGGCGGGATGGGGCCGCTGCTCCACGACGCTGCGCGTGCAAACGGATGCGGTGGTGCTGGCGCTGCCGCCACTGGCTGACATCTGCTCCCGCTCGAAGCGGGCCAGCAGCTCCTTGTGCTTGCGGCTGTTCAGGTGATTGTCGTGCGCCTTCTGGCTGGCGAATTGCCGCCTGCAGGCGTGGCAGTAGACACTCAGGTTCTGCTCCTCCAGGGCCGCATCCGTGGCGCTGCGGGCGCTGAGCACGCGCTGCTGGAACTCCTCGGCCGTAACGGGCGGCAGCTGGGCCACCCTGCGCTTCAGATTGTAGCGGTGCCAGTCGGTCTTGTAGTGATCCCGCTGCACATCCGCGCTGGCGAAGCGGGCATCGCAGTTCAGGCAAGTGAAGTGCGACATTGTGGCGCTGATTGGATTCGCTTGGCTCGATGCGGCGCTCGCACTTTCTGTGACACTCTGGGAATGGCGTATTTCACAATGGAGACTGGAGGCTGTTCAATTTGATAATGATGATTAACAAACAAAACCACGTTCTCGACAGTGTGACCAGGCGGCTTTCACAACGCCACCATGCACAATATACTGAACAAAGCTTTTATAGTAGTTTATATAGTTTTTTATAGTTTGCATTTACATACATATGTATATATGCGTGTGAACAAAATGCTGCATCGAATTTTAATAATGAATTAAACACACATTTTGTAATAACAGTCCAATTTTTGTATTGTTTTTAGCTTCTGTGTTTGCTGTGTTTCTGGTTTATTCAAGTTTGCCCACTTGCCCAGTACGGTCACACTGGTTTTGTTGTTATTGCTGCTGCCGCCGATTTCCGCATTTTCAAAGGATCCGGATTCCGGCAAGAAAACGATGCAGTAAGTGGATAAGTAATGTGTGGTGAAGCAACTAATTAAGGAATCCGTTGATGACTTGGATGCTCCCTTCGCCTAGACGATCTCGTGCCAGCAGCACCAGCAGTGGCCGACAGCCGGCGCCTCCGCCAATTGGACTGCCCCAGCCGCAGGCGCAGCCACTGGAGGCGCCAAAGATCATCGTCATACATCCGGGATCACAGCATTTGAGGATCGGAAGGGCGGCCGACCTGAATCCTCTGACCCTGCTGCATGCAGTGGCCTACAGGAGGCGTCAGGTGGCCGGCGGCGATTGGCCACATCATGATCCGCTCCTGCCGCCGGTGGACAAGGTCAACTCCGCTCTGATGGTCGAGTTCGAGGAGCAGCGGCTGGCGGTTTCGCGCATTCTACAGCACTGCGTCGTCGATGACAAGAATCGCCTGCGCGTGGCCACTCCGCCGCAGCAGCTGGCCCACTTCAATCGGAGCAGTCAGGCGGAGAAGGTGCCGCCGCCAAGTGGCCAAATAGTGGACGAGCCCTGGCTGGATCGCGAGGCACCCGTGCTGTTCGACGATCGGATCCTGCGACTCAGCGCCGTGGATGCCCGCGACTACGACATCCATTTCCCTATGCAAAGGGGCGAGCTGAATGTGCACAAGGAGAAGGGCGGCTCGCTGCAAGTGAGTGCTGCTCCACCTAGTGTACCTAGTAAATTAAACTGAAGAAACTTTTTTTAGGCCAGCCTGCAGCACTTGGAGCGAATCTGGTCGTACGCCCTGGTGGAGCGTCTGAAGATTCCGCTGCGCGAACTGGGCACCCACTGCGCCGTCTTGGTGGTCAATGATGTGTATGTGCGGCGGCATTTGCGCGAGTTCATGACCCTGCTGCTGCAACGTTTGGGTTTTCGGCGCTGCTTCCTCGTCCAGGACAGCGTTGCCTCCACCTATGGCGCCGGCATTGGGTACGGCTGTGTGGTGGATATTGGCGCTCAGAAGACCTCCATTGCCTGCATCGAGGACGGCATTTCACAGCTGGATGCCAGGGTGCGACTGCCCTATGGCGGCGGCGATCTGAATCAGGTGCTACTCCTGCTGCTGCGCAAGTGCGGCTTTCCTTATCGCGAGTGTAATGTGCAGGAGAGCTATGTGGATGCCCATCTGCTGGACGAGCTCAAGGAGAAGTTCTGCCATCTGAATGCCAGCGTTTGTGGCGCCCAGGAGAAGCACTTCAACCTGCGCAAACAGAACGGCCAGTGGCTGCGCTACACCATACAGGTGGGCGATGAGGCCCTTATGGCACCACTGGCCCTCTTCCACACGGAGCTGCTGAGCATTACGGGGCGAGCGAAATCGGTTTGTACACAGCAGGCGGCACAGGATCAATACGACTGTGAGGACTGCTTCGATGCAGAGTATCTGAAGGAGACGGGTCGGAAGAATGGGGTGAGGAGTGGCGACACCTTGGCCCTGACCGGATCCCAGCCGCGGCCTCAGCTGCCCGTGACCGCTGACGATGAGGAGCTCATTGTGGTGGATCAGGACGAGACCAACAGCAACTGTCAGTCACAGCCGGGAGCACAGACAGCTGGTGGGCAGCTGAACTCGAACGGTTGCTACCACAACGGCCAGGGTCACGTATTGCCTTTGGACCAGGCCGTGATCAAAGCCATTAACCGACTGTCCAGCTACGAGACGAAGCGCAAGATGTTCGGCTCCATCCTGCTTGTGGGCAGTAGTGCCAAGTTGCCGGGCCTGGCTGCCTGGCTGGAGCACCGGATTAGCCAGCAGGTCCAGTCCACCGGCACCGAGGTGAACGTCCTCACCAAGGGCATGGACGCCGGCATGGTGGCGTGGAAGGGTGCGGCGATTATGTCCGTGCTGGAGAGTGCCCGTGAGCTGTGGATATCGCAGCACGACTGGCAGCGCCATGGACTGCGGGTTCTCCGCGAGAGATCTCCCTTCCTCTGGTGAATCCCAATCCTCTGGCCCAATCGCATTTCGAATATGTTTGAGGACTGCTCCATAGGGTTTGTAATTGTTAATAGAGTACAAGTAGTATCGTAACCATAGGCAAAAATGCCGACCAAAGCATTACCCTGAAGGAAGCACTTCAGATGGGTTCATACAAAATTATACAATTATTTATTTTAAATATTTAAAAATATGCAGAATGCAAACAGGAATCTAAGCCTGTTTTGCTTTTGCTTCTTTGTATTTACAATTATATTATTATGCATCAGTGGCAGATTAGGTAAACAAACTCAGAGTCCAGCGATAAGCTCAGTATGTACGCAAATTTAACGTTTGCCAAAAAAAAACAAAAAAATTGAAACAGAAACAGAAAGGAACAAAAAAACAAAAACAAAGAATAAAGCTATTCTTATTGCTCTGGCCGTGAAATTCGAACTTTATCCAGCGATCACGACTTTCTTATCAAAAACGAACAATGAAACAACAAATGCACAAAGATTAGGCCAGGTACTTGGGTGCACTGGAGCCCATGTAGTGATATAGATCGCCCAGGGTGGACTTCACCAGCTTCGCCTTAATCGTCGGTCGCTGGAGCCGCTTGTACGCCTCGAACCGGTGGCATCCGCCAAAGCTGAAGTAGTAGTCGCCTCCTTCGCTGCCCGTGATCCACAGCAGGTCGATGGGAGGCACCTCCTCCTCGCTGGCTTCGTTCTGCGGTGGAAGGGGTAAATGATAACCGGTGGGATAACTAGCGGAGCAGGTATGTGCCCAATGTGGCGACCATGTTTTTAGTGGTACGTACTTCATTACTTTAACCTTAAATAATGCTTGAAAGGTATTTCTTGGGACTTGCAAACAATTGGTAAAGTATATTCATTGAAAATGATTAACTTTATATTTAAACTCTAACCAGCGCCCATTTATGTATGTTTTACTTGGTAGCTTTTCTCAAAACTAGGTTCGCACAATTAAAGTTTGGTTTTGGATAAAAAATGCACCTGTTTATGATTTTCAGAATGAATTCTCCAAATATACAGCTTCAAAATACTAATTTGGAAAGTGGCTTCTATAACCTAATGAAATTGACTGCACTAAAAAATAAACAATATTATAACAAAATAAAAATAATAAAACTAAAATAATGTTGGTTCATAAAAATCGTAGATTTTTATCTTAAAGTGCATTTAAAATTTTAGGTCTAACTACGATATTGTACTAAATACTGAGTACTGAACGTATTTTGTACCCTGCCCTTATCTATGTTGTAGCTGTACCCCAACCAACCCCTTCCTTTTGCCAAAGTACGTGCACCAACCCACCTTAATGGTTTCCATCAGGGATTGCACCTTCTGCTCGTCCAGAACGGAGGGAATGGGTCGCTGGATGACGCTCATGGGCACCAGGTGGGTCTCATTAATGCCGGCGGAGTGAACTGTGGTGTCCATGGTGCTGCAGCTGGATCTGTATCTGCTGGATGCCTGTCGATTGATTAAAGATCTTGGCCAGTTGTGAAATTTCACCAAAAACAACCGCGTTATCAGTGTGCGTGTAGGTGGCAACGCTGTGCTGCCCCGCCACCCAACATACACACACGCAGCCATAGTTGTGGCATGGAAACCTTACTGTTTTTGAAAGATTTCGCTACGATTTCTCTGCAGGATTGGACCCAATAAGGCGGTGCGTCTGCTCGTCGCTCGTAAGAAATGGCTAATGAACTCCATGGCGGCCAATTGCGCGATTTTTGAGACCGTTCGGCGTTGAAACTTGTTTGCTGCTCATGTGTGGGTTCGTTTACCGCTATATGTTGTTTTGCTGCAGCTACTTGTTGTTTGTTTTATGCATAATCATACCCCCCACCACCCACAAACGCACACACATATGTATACGACCAGTATTGCCAGTGCGATAAAAGCGAATGAAAACAAAATTCAAAATACGAAAAATACAATACATATATGTACATTCAAATGTATATATGCTAATGATGGGCTGGCGGGGCTGATGGGGTGTTTGCTACACCCCGAAAAACAGTGGCAGAAATGCAGAACTCTCGGCTGGTGGGCAATCGCTTGCTGATTAGCGTCAGCACAGAAATTAAAATGTGTAATCTACGTTGACAACTCTTGCTGCTTGTTTATGCCCCATTCTCCATTCCCCATCGCCCTATCAGAAGCCAAGATAAATGCTATGTGCAATTGGGGGGGAGGGGGCGCAAAAGTACGGGTGTGTCTGATAACGAATGGAATGAGGTGCCATTTCAATATTATAAACAAGTTTTGCATATTTTTGAGAAAAACAAAACTGCCGCAAAATCGACAGCTTTTTAAACGCAACAGCTGGACCGCGGTCAGTTGGCAACTCTGTGCACTTGACCAGATGGGCAGCACTGTTCTTGGAATGTCAAATTGATAAATTCAACAGCCAGCGCGGGCTCGTCAAAAATGATGTAAATAACTGAGATTTTAAATGAGAACTTGGAGCATAGCGGTATTTTTGGTTTCAGTTTAATCCTTTCTATCATAAATACTATCACTTAATACTATTAATACTACTTAAAGTAAATACAGAAATGTTGAACATTACATTTAAAAATGTAATTTTAAGCCTACATATTTTTGGAAAATGCAAAAACTAGGTTAATGGCACTGCAAATTTGATTTTGCCAAACAGTAGCAACTGGAACATGCTAAAATATTCGTGTATGTGCGTCAGTAATCGGCATCCTCTGTTCTTCCAGCGCCTTGTCAGTCGCACAATCTTCAATTAACCGATACGAGATGTTCGACAACGGGCAACAAGCAACCGATTCCGGGTAATTTTTAGACACTTTCCCGGTGGAGTTGCTTACAAAAAGGTAAGCGATGACGGCAGCCCATTGACAGTAACATTTGGCCCTCAGCCACAGCCACAAAGGCTGCTTCTTTGCAACATTTTTAATTTTTACCCTAAGCACAGTGATTTTGTTGAAATTTGTTCTTGATTCGATTGGATGCGAGCATGAAATTCAATTTGGTGCAGACACTGGTCTTCACTTTGTGCCTCATCAGCGCGCAAATATATGGCATTCAAGGTGAAATGGAAAAGTGAAATGGAAAATCAAATAAAAATTGAAAATTTATGTTTAAATAAGTAAATATTTGGTGTTTCAAACTTGATATTTAACAAATCGGTTAACAACTAAATTGCCATTTTATGCGGACGATTTGGAAAATGAATAATATTGAGCTATAGCGGTTAGATCGGCCTTTCATCACATAAAAAAAAACCTCATAAATACCAAGGATCTGATATTTTTAAAAAACCAAAAAAATGTAGGTCCCAATAAATGGTATTGGTATTTTGTCTAAAAGAAAAATGCACAAAAAGTGGCAATCAATACCAATCCTAAAACTAATGCTTAAATAATTAAGAGATGGATTTAAAATCATGAATGTAAGCTAAAGGCCAAATAAAATAAGTTAACACGGCAATAGATAAGCTTATCCTAGTGAATGTATATAAAATTAAATAACAGTTTGCTAATAACACCAATAGATGCCAGTGGCAAGCGGATCGTGAGCAAGTACGAGCGCATCATGCAGATGTATCCGCAGCTCTCCTCCGGCGCAGGAGAGTCCTCGCAGTGGCGGGCGGCCGAGGGCAACCAGCGGCATCCTTGCAGACGCGACTGCGTCGACAAGCAGCCGATGACCTGCTACTACTACATGGTGGTCCACTACGACGACACGATGGCGGAGACCTGCAAGCGGTACCTCCAGGTGAGATGGGCACCAAGATCGAAGATCGAATATCGACAGGAAACTGTGCACCACTGTTTCGGAGACGAAATTTCCTTCCTGCAAATCACACTGGTGCAGTTGAAGGAGGTTTCTCAAGAGGCATCTGAAAGTACGCAGTGGCAAATTAAGTTGTTCCTTATAAATAAGCAGGTATACTGCTTCGTAGTTTCTGTTATCTACATAAGAAATCATCGCTTGCATTATTGCGGATTAGTGGAATACACCCTATTTGCATGCACAACCGAAGTTCTATATGACTGTAGCCTTCCATCCAAAAGGTATCCAAGAGTAGTCCATTTTTGTATATTGCATGGCGAGCACTTAAGTTTCCAGCAAGACGTAGACGTATTGAAGACGTCTTCTTTAGATTTCATAACTCGATTTGTGCTGTCGAAACGAGGAAACCCTCCTATCTTAAGAGTTGTTTGTCGAAGATGTTGAAAGGCCTGTGGATTCACATGGACATTGGTTAATGATAAAAGGCACGAGCCGTGCTTTCGGGCATTACCTTTTCCCTATGTGGTAAATAATGTCTTGTTTTCTGGCAGTCCAAATTCCGCTTCAAGCTGAGTGGCAAGGAGTACATCGACGGGATTGCGTTGGCGGTGCAGCTGGCGGCGAACGACGACTGCAAGTACGCCGATGGTTTGGAGAGCGAGGTGATGGTGGTCAATGGCCAGCTGCCCGGAATGAACATCGAGGTGTGCTACGGCGACACCGTGGTGGCGGACGTGATCAACAGCATGCACGAGACGACGACGATCCACTGGCACGGAATGCACCAGCGACTGACACCCTTCATGGACGGTGTGCCCCACGTGACCCAGTATCCAATCGAGGCGGGTCAGGCCTTCCGCTACCGCTTCGAGGTGGATCACGGCGGCACCAACTGGTGGCACAGCCACACGGAGCACCAGCGCGCCTTCGGACTCGCTGGGCCACTGGTGGTGCGTATGCCGCCCAAGCTGAATCCCCACGCGCATCTCTACGACTTCGATATGTCGGAGCACGTGATCATGATCCAGGACTGGGTGCACAACTTCGTGGAGAGCGTGGCCGAGAACATCCTGATCAATGGGCGGGGCAGGAATCTGAAAAAGGGGGTCAAGGCCGCCAAGCCCACGCTCTACGCCCACTTTCCGGTGGTCAGGGGCGGACGCTATCGCTTCCGGGTGATCTTCAACGGTGAGTTTTATAAGTTATGGCGCTTTTGGCAATGGGTTTCATTGTTCCATCCATTTGTAGGCGTCTCGAACTGCCCGATCAGCTTGAGCATCGATAAGCACGACCTGGTGGTCATCGCCAGCGATGGCAACGACATCGAGCCGGTGGAGGTGCAGCGGATCATGCTGCACGGCGCGGAGCGCTTCGACTTCGTGCTGCACGCCAACCAGGAGGTGGGCAACTACTGGATCCGGGTGAAGGGCTACAGCTTCTGTGCGAAGAACCAGCTGCACCAGGAGGCGGTGCTGCACTACAGGGATGCGGATACCCGGGCGCTGGACACGCACACCCTGAGCTATGCCTACGAAGCGCCGGGCAAGACGCTCAACGAACTGGGCGACGATACGAGTGGTGGTGCGCTTGGTGGGAATAGCATATCATTGGCCAATGTCAATGCGCAGCGGCCGGAACCGGAAGTGGCGCCATCGGTGACCTTCTACACCAGCATGAACGCGTTCGAGGTGCGACAAGGCGAGGGCTTCCGCTTCCAGATGGATGATATCAGCTTCAGCATGCCCAAGATGTCGCTGCTGCAGACTCGCAACCTGGGCGTTGGCCAGTTCTTCTGCAATCGCTCCCAGCAGGCGGACCTCGGATTCAATTGCCGCCAGCGACACTGCCAGTGCTCCAACGTCATCCAGGTGCCGGCCAACCAGCAGGTGGAGTTCGTCATCTCCAGCCTGTCGCAGACGCCGCACCCTATCCACCTGCACGGATACACTTTCCGTGTGGTCGGAATGGGGGTGCTCGGGGAGCAGAAGATTGGCCAGATCGAGCAGATCGACAAGAAGACGCCGCTGCCGCGACGCGCAAAGGGTGCTCCGTTGAAGGACTCCGTCCAGGTGCCCGCCTTCGGTTACACGATCCTCCGGTTCTACTCGAACAGTCCCGGCTACTGGATGTTCCACTGCCACATATCGCCGCACTCGGAGAACGGAATGGCCGCCGTGGTGCGGGTGGGCGAGGATGTTGAGATGAAGATGTGCCCGGTTAGCAACTGCGGACTGTGCAGTTCGATGGCCTAGTGGGGGCCCTACATATGTCCCGAAGTTACCTCACATATCCCCTGTATGAGCAATAAATGCGTTACCTTTTTGCTGGCATTATTTCGAATGGATTGATTTTGAGCCGGCAAATTTGTTTTGCCGGAAACGGAGGAAAATTGAGCTACACTGCACATTTGCTTAAATAACAAACTGTATGCATACCACAATAAAGTATAGGTTCATATTCTTTTAAATTACGAAACATTTAAATCTGTAAATAGGCTGTTTAAATGGCCTAAGCATAGGACTAAGCAGCAAACTAATGAGCAATCAAATTATTGTCTAATTTTTAATTTCGTATTCCACCACAGCGCTTTTCGAATGTATCGATACTTATTTTGGAAACGGACAGGCCCAACTATCGTACAAGTTAACGGCACACCTATCGCTTAAAAATAAAATGTAAATAAATTTCAAAGGTCGTACAAAGAATGCAAGTTAAGTCAAGGGACAGCGACTCCGAATCTGAGGATGACGCCCAGATGCGCCAGTTCCTGGAGGCGGCGGACACCACGCTGCTCACAAATGCCATGTTTCAATCGCAGCCAAAGGCGGAAGTGCGCGAGGCAGCCAACGAGGAGCAGCCGGTGACCACAAAAAAAAATAATGCACCACCGGTTAAAAGTGAACGCTATGTGGAGGATCAGGACGCGCCTGCCAGCGATCTGCAAATCTCGCTGGAGATGCAAACGCACATCTGGAAAAGGTTGAGTGGCATAATTCAGGAGCAAATCGAGTTCTCCCTGGATGCACCCAATTGCGTGGGCAAACAGAAGCCCCCACCCGACAAAGTAAAACTGGTGTCCAATGCCGATTGCTACTTGATTGCCGATTTGGTGGAGGAAGGTCCTCCGGGCCCAAAAAAGAAACCCACCATAAGGAGACGGACCCCCAAAGAAGAACAATGCGCAACTGAAGCTCTGAACTCTGTGGTCGTCACTGGTAAATCCATACTGGAAGGCAGGGACTTGTTAGCCTGGGCCCAGAAAAGAACGCGCCACGACAAAGTCTTCCAGTACAGAGCCAGCAATCCAAATGCAACCAAGCTAGTGGCAATCGAACCCACCAACGAGTTTACCAAGCGAAGGCGACAAAACAATTGGAACGAGTCGAGGATTAGCAAAAAGAAGAGCAATAAACAAAACAAGTAATTAAAACTATTTAATTAGTGCGTTTCTTAATAACTTATCTTAACTTAAGCCTAGAGATCTTAGTCGTTTTATAAAAAATTTGAAAGATTTGATTACTTGGGTTATCTCGGTTTGAGATATTTGCTCCCGGTTTGAAATATAAAAATATGGGACACATTGAACAATCTAACAATAAGTTTTGAGCGTAAGGTAATGAAAATATTTAACAATTTTAAAAATCACGTCTCAAAAGTGGCGTGAAAGCTGCTAACCGTGGCCCCATTGCCATTCCCATTGCCGCCCGTGCTGCCATTGCCACTGGTCCCGGTCATGTTTGAGGTATTGGATGATATCTGGCTATCGAGCAGGCCGTACAGCATCTGCTGAGAGCTAACTGTGCCGCTGGAGCCCGTGCTTCCGCCCAGATCCTGCAGCATATCGCCCATGGCCAAATTGCCGCCTATGCTCTGGCTGCTGCCGGTGGCGCTGTTGTCCAGGATGTTGAGGAAGTCGTGGCCGTTGAACTCGTTGTGCTGCTTCTGCATGCTGCTCTGGCTCTCCTTCATCAGCTTGTCGTACTCCTGCAGCACGCTGTTGAACTCGCCGATCTCGACGCGGTTCCTGGCCAGCACCTTGTGCTTGTAGTAGTTGTGCACCTGGGTGAGCGAGGTGCCCGTTAAGGCAACATGGGCGCGCTCCAGGGGCACAAGCTGCAGTACCGTGGACTTTTGCAGCCGTGGCTGACTGTCATAGTAGCCGCGAAACTCACCGATGAAGCTGCGCAGGAACTCCTCGGTGGCATCCGTCAGCAGCTGCCCCGCCGATTCGGAACAGTCGGTGAAGCCGGCCAGGCGCAGCATGCCACACATCACCTTTCGCATCGCCTGGCGGCAGGCACTACTGGAGATCTCCGGATACGCCTGCGGATCCCCGCGGGAGTAGGCTGTGTCCACGGTGGGTGTGAACCAGATGGGCTTCTGAAACTTTTGGCTGCCCACCAGTTCGGCGGCGTTCTCTGGCGGAAAGTCCACTTCTGGTATCATAAGGCAGGGGTTCAAGAGGTAGTTGGAACTTCCCTATGATTATATTATTAGGTTAATTAGGTAAGTACTACGGTTAAACTACCAAGAACTTACATTTTTGTTCGAGTACGTTTCGATGAGGGACTGCAGAACCTCGGTTTGCTTCATCACCTCGATGGTCTGGGTGACCAGAGCGCTCCTCAGTTCCACCTTGTGGCTACATGGAATATATGATTAGTTAACAGGCTGTGGTATACCTATTCATTAGATTTATTTACTGTTTTTCATCCGGTTGCGGATCGCCGCGTAGACGAATCTCGTCCAGCTTGGATTTCTTGGCCGCCGTAGGCACGTATTTGTCCGGCGTCAGTTGGACACCGTCGTCCTCTGCGGGCAGGGAGCCCCAGTGCTCCATTTCCATGTTTATTCCACTTAAAAACCTACGTACAACATTTACTTTACAATAATTATTTTGTTTATTTATCGGACCCTAAAGTAACATGGTTGGTTATCGCGAATATCGATAGGTTAGGCTGCGCTGCTGAACGAAATACACAACTCATTTAACTCAACAGCTGATTGTCGGTAAACATCGGCTTGGCCAGATGCATCTGGCAACGTTGGCCTCGAACGTTTCGTTTTCGATTATCAGAAAGCGCTGTAGTAGCCAAAATAAATAAAGGTTAGGATAAAATAACAACAATTGGGGGAAAACCCCCTTTCTCAAGACAGCAGGTTTTGGAAATCAGGCCGCGCTTGCGTTTTTGTGGATCACGTCACACACACATGTATTCATTTTTTTCGGCCGCTTCGACAAATGGCAACGCTACTGCAGCTGGACACGCACACAAGCACAACATGTAATTATTTGTTTTCGTTTCAAGAATTTCAAAGGTAAAAACCGATCGCAATACGTGGTGGGCAAGATAACGCAGCGACGCAGACGACGAGTGGGACTGTCCGGCGGATTGGCGGCAGCGGGATACGGCGGATATAACGGCAACAAGATGCACCAGGAGCACATGGACCTGCATGCGCCCGTGGACTTGAACAAGGTGAGTCTTTTCTAATGGGAATCGAATAAGATGCCCCACTCTACTGGTATATTTTCCTATTCCCTGTAATTCCCTGGTGATGCGTATGTCCATCAGTCCCTGGACGAGATGACGCCGGAGGAGCGAATGCGGTAAGTGGAAGGGTGGCCTTAGAAAATCCTTTTAATTATGACAAATTTTCGGTTATCCAATCCCACAGAGCACAGCACCAACTGATGGTAGAGAAACATCGCGGCCACGACGCCATGCACTCCGAAATGGTGATCATTCTGTTCGTCACCCTGGTCATTGCCCAGATCATCCTAGTCGAGTGGAAGAAGCGGCACTACAGATCCTACGCTTTCGTCACCCTACTGGCCATGTGGCTCATTCCGCTGATCATATCCTGCAGCTTCGGCTGGTTGCGCTTCATTATCATCTGGCTGGTGTTTACCTGCATTACAGCACTGGTTATGCGCCGGGCCATCAGCAAGCCCATCCAGGGCACAACGCCTAGGTGAGTCAACGCTGATAAGAACGGCGCCCAACGAAGGCCAGATAATAGCCCATAAAATCCGCTTTCAGGCTGGTCTACAAGTGGTTCTACTTCATCTACAAGCTCAGCTACGGCCTTGGCCTTGTGGGATATCTGGTGATCATGGCCGCCTTCCTGGGCATGAACTATATGTTCTCGCAGCCTCCAAACACCTGGATGGATGTGGGCCTGATGTTCTGCTTCTATGGGCTGTACATCGGTGTACTGGGGCGGGATATATCCGAGATATGTTCGGATAAGATGGCGGCAGCTATTGGCGTGAGTTCACCATTGGCTTGATACCCAGTTGGAGTCTTCTAACCTTCCGTTTCTCCCACAGTACTACACACCTCAGGGCATACCCACCCGGCATCTTGATCAGAATGTCTGCGCAGTATGTGGCAATCAGTTGCTGGTCTCGGAGAAGGAAGAGGGCGTCATTGAGAACACCTACAAGTTGTCTTGTAACCACGTATTCCACGAGTTCTGTATACGCGGCTGGTGCATTGTGGGCAAGAAGCAGACGTGTCCCTACTGCAAGGAAAAGGTCGATCTCCAGAAGATGTTCCGCAATCCGTAAGCCATTTAGAGCCATCCGATTGATTACCCAACTTAATATCGATTCTCTGGTAGCTGGGAGAAGCCGCACGTATTGTACGGTCGCCTGCTGGACTGGATTCGCTGGCTGGTGGCCTGGCAACCGCTCATCTTTTTCATAGTACAAGGCATCAACTGGATGCTGGGACTGGAGTAGATCCTGATCCCAGTACTGACTCTCCTCGGCGTCTAGTCAAGCACACACACTTTGGATTAAGTCCTGCACATGTAACCACACGAAATCTGGACAACGACAGACCAACTTGGAGGGGCTGCGAAACACCCGCACCACTAGCACCGTCGCCGTTCATTCCCACGCTCCCCTCCACGACTCCTGAACTATGGTGACAATGACGGAAGAAAGATCCGTAGACGTAGCCATTCGGATGCCATTGCCATCCAATCTGATTCTGGGTTTTCAGTTCTGTGTGTGGTTTGCTTTTGGGCACCCAAAATTTTGTCATTGGAGTCTTTAATCGAAACGTAAATGCAATTTTAGATATATGTATCTATATCTATATATTATACATAGCTATGTATTTATGTACATATGTGTGCCTGTGTGTATGTCTCCTAGGTATTATTACCAATTTTATTTTCTTGATTTTACTTAATTGCACTGGAGCTGGTTAGGAATATACATATACCAAAAAGTCTATTGATAAAATACTCGAAACTCTTTCACTTTCACTTGCGGAAGGGGAAGCTTATTATTAATTTATTTTACTGGATTACACAAGTTCCATTGACAACCAGCATTGCTGTCTCTTTCGGTTTCGCTCGGCTCTTAAGAAAGTAACCGCTCTTTTGAAATAACAAGTTTCTCGCTTTATTGTAAGTTTTGATTTTAATCTTAAGGCAACAACAATAACAAAAGATAAGAGAAAGTAACCTGAAAGATCTGGAGTGGGGAAAACCCCCTGGCATAACGGACTAAAATGGACCGAGTATATGCTAAGCTTGCCAGGAGCCGCACAACATCCTGCTGACATTTAGGGATTCAGGCACGGAAAATAGGATTATGACCGACTTAAAGGCGGGGTAACATGAACGAACTGCGTTATACATCTGCTTGTATGTACATCTACATCTAAAATTAGATTGAGCCACCGCTCAGTAGCCGGAAGCTCCGATCATTTTGCGGATCTGCTCGAAGGACAGCCAGAAGGTCAGCGACCACGGTGCCATTCGTATCCAGCAGGGCAGGAAGCCTTTGTACAGCGCCACAAAGCCCTCTTTCGAAACCGTCTGGCGCAGGCAGTCCACGGATCCGCGATAGAGCAGGCCCCTGTATGAATAATATAGATGATTAACCGTTCTAGTGGTTAAACGCAGCAGTGGTCACTTACCGCCCATTCTCGTCTGTGGGCTGGTTCATGATGCGCGTCTTTACCACATCAGCTGGCGTGCCCATGATCGCTGCCACGAATCCGGCGCAAACGGAGGCCAGTACGTGCACTGTGTGGCAGTCGGGCATCTGCAGGCGGTCCATGATCAGGTGCTTGATGGTGTCGTATGTGGTTAAGTCGCCCAAATTAACCAACGCCGCTCGCTGCACATTCGGTATGCTGCCCTTCCACAGGCCCTTAATTCCGCCCCGCTGCACGATCTGGCGAAAGGCATGACCAGCGGAGTGGACCCTCGGTGGCTCGCCCATCAGGCGTCGTCGGCCCTCCATCTGAATTTGGACCTTGACCAGGTCAGCGGGCGAAGCAAGCCACTGGGCAACGGCTCCGGCCGTGACGCCGCACAGCGCCGACTTCCAAACCGGCAAAGCCTGGGTGCCATTCTGCGTGAATTCTTTGCGCATCAGGTCGTAGCTGCAGATCCTCACACCGCTGCGGATGGACATGGACAGGGAGAACTCGGGTTAGAACTTGCTGGGCTAATTGCTGATAGCTAACAGCTGCTGGCAGATTGGCTGTGGCGGTGATCTAGATGCTAGAATGAGGAGTTTTGGGAATGCCCACCTATAGACGACGTGTCGGTAGAGCGCCGGCGTTACGCCCTGCCACAGCTTCAGGGCGCCCTCCTCACGCGCAATCCCGAAGGCGGTGGCCACCATGCCGCGGTATTGCATCTGGTAATGGTAATCGTTGGGAATCGGTAATTGTGGGTGGTTCATTGTAGTAAATGTAAGAAATGTTGCATTCCGGAAAACACAATATTCACATGGAACAGGCACACACAAACGGGATGGGTTGGGGGGCAGTGGGATGGGAGTCCTATATTGCTTGGCCTTTCCTATCGCATATCTACGTCAATTTACTTAGCTTACCCTATAAACCTTGTAACTTGCTGTTATTGTGTCTTTTCTAACATAGCTTGTCGTTATAGAAGTATTCCTTTCCTGCGGAACTGAATTTGGTATTTTTTATATGCAACATGTTCTTTGTGGTTAACAAAATGTTTTCTTTAAATAAGATTAAAAAAGTACCTAAACTCGTAGCTATCGTTATCAAACATTCTCTTAGTAATCAATTGTGCCAATACAGTCCATAAATACAATGGGGTTCAAACCAATCCAAACACACACAAACAAATGAGAAGGGGGAATACGTATACGGGTACAGTGGATGAGCAAGCCGGGATGGGGGCATGGGTGTGATCTGGGCAGAAGCTGTGACTAATACCGAGACCCCTAGCAAAGCGTCTTGTGAGCCAAGTCTTATCAGCATGGACGTGCCCACTCCGATTTACCATATCTCTGACGTTCGGAATACATTGCAAATGCTTCTCCCTAATCGCGCGATTGGAGTAGACAAATCGGAGGGGCAGCACCATCTCGGGTTTAGTTTGTTAGCTGGAGGATGGAATGGATGAGGGGGATGTGGACTTGGTTCTGGGATTAGGAGTTACCAAAAGCCTGAGACAATAGAACAACAAGCGGAAAGCAGTTAGTATGGGGTGCCACTCACATTGGACTTTCCCGCCGAATGGGCGGCTCCTTCGCCCTGGATCTGCAGACGCGTCTTGGTCAGGTCCAAGGGATAGGTGGCCAGCTCTGCGATGGAGGCGGCCACTACGGAAACGATGTAGGTGCAGGCAAATGAGTCCGCGTAGTCAAACTTCACGGGGCGCAGCTGGTGGCGTCCACTGGTGGGGGCGGGACTGCTGCTTTTGCTTGGCGCCACGGCTGGCGAGGATTCGTCCGTCTTGGCGGCCATTTCCGAGCCGGGTTTCCTATCTGCAATGCGCAAGGGTGGGGAAACTCAGTAACTTCGTTATGCGTTGGGTAAACAAGTGCTAAACAAACTCGAGCCAGGCGAAACTTTCACACAATCGCGTGATGCGTGCGGGTGGTGGACGCTCCGACCTTAATTTCCGTGTCCCCTTGCGGAGAACGCCGATTGCGGTGGATTCCGGATGAGGATGGTGCCTGTGCCAACGTTCTGCTGCCGTGCATTTACATAACAACGTTTTGGCAACGCTTCTTTTGCTTTTTCCTTTTCGGTTTTGTGGGGCGAAGGCGGGGCACAAAAACAATAACAATGGCAATGGCAAATCAAAATCAGAATCCAAATTGCGCTCTTATAAAACACTCGATGGCACGCGCTGTGCTGGGCGGTTAATCATGTTTGTCCACCCTGCCTGCGAAAGCCGCTCTATTTATATCCTTTATAAAAAACTAAAAAACCCGTAATTATCAGCGCAATAAAAAAACGCAACAAAAACCAAGGCGATGCAGGCCAGGGTTGCCATATAGATAGATGCACCTACGCGGCGAGAAATTGGAAATCAAATATTCATATTCTTCTTTATTTTAATGAATTAATTATTGGTGCAATATTTATTTATTTTACATATATTACATACAAAAAATTCGAATTTTTAACTGCGTTGTTTTAAAACTGTATTGCCATAAATAATTGTATAGAAATTGGTTTTATATCCGGATTTTTGCACGTGTACAATTGCCTTGCTCTATCTGGCAACTTTCCAGCCGGCAACCTTTCAACTCGAAACAACTTGTTATCGATAAACGCGCGGCAAACTTGCATTTTGCGTCCTGCTTTATTTATAATTTTGTGAACTAACCAGGCTTTCGGTATGCAAGCCTTTTTGAAAACTGGAAAGTCAACGGCGGGTTCCGGAGATAAGAGTCAGGGAGCTCCGGCGGCGCGGCGCAAGCCACCGGCTCCGTGGGTGGAGAAATAGTGAGTTGACGATGTCGCCAAATTGGACCACATGCTTATTTAGGTGGTTTCTATCCTTTCCAAATTACAAATACAGCCGGCCACGCAACGTGGATGATGTGGTGGAGCAGTCCGAGGTGGTGGCCGTGTTGCGCAAGTGCGTCGAGGGCGGGGACCTGCCCAACATGCTGCTCTACGGACCGCCCGGCACGGGCAAGACCAGTACGATCCTGGCTGCCAGCCGACAGATCTTCGGTGACATGTTCAAGGACCGTATCCTTGAGCTAAACGCCTCCGACGAACGTGGCATCAATGTGGTGCGCACCAAGATCAAGAACTTCTCGCAGCTGTCCGCCAGCAGTGTGCGTCCGGACGGTAAGCCGTGCCCGCCATTTAAGATCATCATTCTGGACGAGGCCGACTCGATGACCCACGCCGCACAGTCTGCGCTGCGTCGCACCATGGAGAAGGAGAGCCGGAGCACCCGCTTCTGCCTAATCTGCAACTATGTGTCCAGAATTATTGTGCCCATCACGTCGCGATGCTCGAAATTCCGCTTTAAGGCACTGGGCGAAGACAAGGTGATCGATCGGCTGAAGTACATTTGCGGGTTGGAGGGGGTGAAGATAGAGGAGGATGCATATAAATCCATTGTCAAAATTTCTGGCGGAGATCTGCGACGCGCTATTACCACCCTCCAGTCCTGCTACCGCTTAAAAGGGCCCGAGCACACCATCAACACTGCCGATCTGTTCGAGATGTCGGGCGTCATACCGGAGTACTATCTGGAGGACTACCTTGAGGTCTGTCGCTCGGGGAACTACGAGCGCCTGGAGCAGTTTGTGCGGGAGATCGGCTTCTCCGCCTACAGCGTTGGCCAAATGATGGAACAGTTCGTTGAGTTTATTGTCCATCATCCAGGGCTGAATGATCCGCAAAAAGCTACGATCTGCGATAAGTTGGGCGTACGTATTGACTGGATATATAGATATATTTTCTCTTGTTTAATGGGTTCTTTATCCATCAGGAATGCTGCTTTCGCTTGCAGGACGGTGGTTCCGAGTATCTGCAGATCATGGACCTTGGCTGCTGTATCATCTTAGCTTTAAAGTAATCTCGTCCCACTCACCACATTCATTATATATACTTTTTTTTTCGCGAATGGAGTCTAAAATAAATTTTATATTTAATGTATAAAACGTAGGTTTAATAACGATTAACGGGGAAATCTATACAAAGGTTTTTGCGATTTATTAAAGTTTAAATTTAGATCCCCTGTTCGCTTAACCAAATGCAAATGCTTTGGTCTGGTTTTAGAATATTAATTTAAGGTAAATGATGTCGTTTCGCTAGTTGGTTACAAACTCAAACTCCTCTTCCTCGCGCTCCCGCTTGACGGCCACTCCTACGCCAGATGATCCTCCTGCCCCGCTGGCATTTCCCGCTCCCGAACCGGATCCGCCAGCGATGCTGCCCACGGCCGCCGCATCGCTGTCCACCTCCATCTTGAGATCTCCGCCGGTGCCACTGGGCTCATTCTTGACTTCCTGACCACCGCCGCCCCCAGAGCCCACTGAGCTGGCCACCGCTTTTGTCGTTGTGGTGGTGGTAAACTTGATAACGGGCTTGGGAATGGTCACCACCTGCTGCTTGGCCACCACGGAGTGCGGCCTCTTCGGTCCATTGGCGCTGGACACGGGCTTAACGACGGTCTTTAGCGGACGCCCCTCGACTGCTGACTTGGTCATTTTCTTGGGTTGATTGGTGGCCCGCAGCTTGTAGTTGACGCCGGTGAGGCAGTAGCGGTCGGGCGGCAAACGGAGACCGCAGTGCGGCTTGATGGGTGGCAGGGGCATGCCGTTCCGAACGTCGGCCACCTTGGCCAGAACGTGGCGCGCCGGCGGCCCGGTGAAGCTCTTGTCCAGCGTGACTACGGTGGCCAGACGCACGTCGTCCATGTCGATGGTCTTCTTGCGCGCATGGTTAGCGTACACCTTGGCGTCGTCTAGAATGCAGGTGACATAGCCTGCAATTCAATACGGTATTTAGAAAAATGGAGGGAAAACCAAGACATAAACCGCCGCTTACGGAAGGTGAACTCCAGCATTTGGTTGACCACGCGCGGTTCGTACTCCTGGATATTCAGCTCCTTGAGGATGGACATGATCACCTGCGCGTCCTTCGGTACGTGCTTGATTTGGGCACTGATTTTGGCCTTATCGGCCTTCTCCACACTCATGCTTTTATCGTAATGTTGTTTACTACTACTTTACAACAAGAAGATTGTTTATTCCATTGAAATTGTGCACGTACATACATACTAGTTTATCGGAAATCGATGCGCTTATGCGATACTATCGATACGCCGTACGCCTAGCTTGGAAAATGCCGCTTGACTGCAGTGTGGCAACTCTGGCCGATGGCTGCCCTTTTCAAAAAGTGAAACAGCCAAATAAGAAATCGTTTTTCAAATTAAGGAGGCTTGTGAAAAACCAATATTATATTGGCAACTATTAAAAGTCCGCTTCCTAGAATTTGATTTCAATATATTTTGGAAATAAACGTAACGAGAACGAATTTCAGAGTGAACTAAAAACTACAATTCCCAAAATTGCTATACAGTCAATTTAATAAGTCAAGAGCAATGATAAAAATGCAGTATCTGGTAATATCTTCCACACAAACTTCTGATTGAAATTAGAATACCCAAGCAGTTGCAGAAAAATCAACAACCCGCAAAAAAGAAATGAAATCTACCAATTTAACGTAAGAAACTTTTATTCATTAAACGTACAGCTCTACATACAATATGCACTATACTTGGAAGACAATTGAAGCTTGTCGCGCATTATTACATTCATATACATTGTACAATGAAACTTTTAGCTTAGATACATACACATATTTGTTTATTATTTTTTAAGATACGCTACATGTACGTTACGTGCTACAATAAATTAACTCTTTATTGTTCCGTCTTTTAATCGCCATCTCGCCGTGGTCAACATATAAAACCATCCATCCATTCGTCTCTCTAAGATATTTGCAAAATAACGCGCAAACAATTCGCGCACCAAAAACTTGGACGCAACTTTGACTCAAGTCCCACGATCAGTTATACATACAAGCATATAGATATATATATATACTATATAGCTCTATATAGACTACAAACTAGATTTTTGTTGAAAAAAAATGATGCTTTATATAATATGTCATTGTCAGAATGTATGCAATTTAAGATTTCGTTAGCGGTTGCTCTATTTGATCGCCAAGTGGTTTGATTACTGGGGAGGGCTACCAGGTTCCCTCCTGGTCATGATTTGTGATCTCAATGCTCGATTGCAAGTGGCTGAAGCTTGCACCTTTGGGAGTCCCCCTAGTAGTTGTAGGGTCCGTACTGCGAGCCATGATAGTAGGGTCCTGGGTAGATCTGCGGCTGGGCATAGTTGGCATAGGGCGGATAGGGAGGCTGCTTCTGGGAGTAAACTGGAAATGGAAACCGAAAACCGAAAATTAGTGACCAGTAGTGATATAAGGAGGCGTTGATATATAGAGGAAGATATACCTGGCATCAGGTACTGCAGGTTCAGCTGCTCCTCCTTCTCCCGCTCGTTGCGCAGGCAAACGGCCGCGCCGGAGAGCAGGATGGACGCCAGGAGACAGGTTCCGATTCCTGCCCAGGCCACGATGTAGGACCAGTCGTAGGCGATCTTCGTGTTGTCGCGCAGGACCTAATCAATCAAGATCAACAATAACAATTATCAATCCACATACTTGGCCAAAGTACTACAGATAGTGTGCATACCGTGTTCCACTGCTGGAAGTAATCCTCGCCCACGACCTTCTCCTTCTCAAAGAACTCGACGGTGTGCCAGAGTCCCATGGCGCCGGCGGCCAGGAGACAGGTGACTAGCAGCAGGATCGAGGTGGCTGTGATGGCGCCCGAGGAGCGCTTCCAGCAGCCCGATAATCCGGTCCAGAAAGCACAGAAGATGGTCACGAAGCTGATGATGAACAGGGCGATGCAGGAGCGGGCCAAATGGAGGCGCGATGTGGCGTCCTCGTTGGCGATCTTCTCGTCCTCCGCCTGCGGGAAGTAGTCGATGTTCGAGCAGTGCGTCTCGATCGGTGACAGATAGGTGGGCACTATGCAACGGGATGGGAAAGGGATGATATACCTCATATTTTATGTATTTTGCAGCACTACTCACCCGCTGAAGTTGGCGGCCGCTCCTTGGGATAGCAGATCCTGAACAAGCCGCGTGTCCTCGTGTAGTAATAGTACTTCACGTTCATGTTGTGCAACAGGGACTCCGCATCCGAGTGCTTGGCGGCAAAGGTCTGAAATAAGGAAAAACCCAAATCAGTCAGGTATCTGGTAAGAAACACGTTACAGCTCAAAGTTATGGTTACAAGTATCTAAGTTCTTTTCCGAGTGTTTTTCCGGCACTCCCCATACTCTTTTTGATACGTCTTTCAAACATAGCCATACGTTTATTTATAGCTCGCGGATTAACCTTCTTAGGGAATTAGCGCCTAGAGTAAATGCCGCAATTCAAGCTCACATCGCCAATTGTTATTCA